CGCAGGTGTCCTCTCCGACGGATACTTATATATCTCTCCTACCCGGGCTACAAATTAGAAGAATTATCTGTAATTCGGGCTGGAATTCGCGTATACATCGAAGAGGCTTGTTTTCGATGCCTTGGCAGACTTGAAGATACAGACCTATACATCCTTTAACTGCGCGTATACAGCGACGAGCATCTCCACGGCTACGGGTGCTTCCATATAATATGTCCTATAGCAGTAATGCCGGCATAGACCACGTCCAAATGGCTTCAGACTCCGTGCTACAACAGATCCCATCTGCAGAGAACGAATGCTGAATCCGCTGAATGGCCGGTTAACCGCTCATGCTGGAGATCTGTTTATGACTTTGCCTTGGCGTATGGTCTGACACAACTGGTGACTTCGTCTACGCAGATCTGAGATGTGGAGCCGGAAACCCTTTTTACTGGAAACGAGGCATTCCATCTAAGTCCTCACGGGTGACAACGCATCTGCATTTTGATTCGTAATCGAGTATAGATGTAGATGTCTATTAGCCACAGCAACCACTTGTCATCAGGTGGACTGTGTGCTCGTTTGTCACCCTATCCTATAAAAAAAGAAGTGACTACACAATTTTTGTTTAATAAAATATTTAAACATTGCCTCATCAACGAATTACTGACTATGGAGCTGAGAAACTGGTATCACTAGCTTGTGTTTGTTCCTGGTGTACATCAATTTTTATTAAAACTATTATGATATTTGTGGACATAGATTAAATTTTCCTTAATATACTGAGAGGCCAAAGTTAATGTATAATGTTTATGTGAAAGTCTCTCTCGGTTTTATGTTCTAAATATATTTTACTATCTTCTGCAAAACAAAAATAGTTTCTAATCAGCCGTCTTTCCCAATAGTAAAATCTTATACATCATGTTACGGAAATAACTGAAATAAACTAAAACAGCTGTCTCGGCACTAGTGAGATTTCGAATATTTTTTACAGCATAAGCTGCAGAGCTTAGTCCACATGCTAGTTTATAATGTATATGGGAGCCCGATCAAGAGCGATGCCAAAAAAATCGGTTGAATCAACCGCGCTCAGTTCTTCTCCATTTAAAAATACATGGGTATTCAGATTTTTGACATTCCGTGTTATAAAATTTATACATTTAATTTTAATGCCGTTTAAATGTAGATAATTAACGTTTTACCAATGCACTATATTTTGATATATGTTACCAGGCCTCTATCACTTTTGCTACCTACGTGAAATAATTACCTAAAATCGCGACGCGCCCGGGCGAAATAACACAATCAGGGCTAGCGCGTTGGACGCGATGCAATGTTAAGGTTTTTTAACGCTGTTTACTTAAATAGTTTTATGTAAATACTTATTGAAATAGTTTTTTTTTTTAGTGTTTAGTATATTTAATTTTAGGTAAAAATAGTTGTAAAAGTTTAATGTATTTTAAAAATTATATATTATGTATATTACTTATTTGATAAATTATAATAGCAAAACGTCGTTCCTACTATAACTGTTGCGTGGATGGATACTAAATGAAATGATCAACAAAAGGTTTCATATTATTCTTTAAGTTACCGAAGAATTTTAGAAGGAAATTATGAACGGCGAATTTATTTAATTTTTTTTTGTTAGATAGGTACTTAAAGCAAAAAAGAATTAAGTAATAATTTGGTCTACAGAAGAAATACCTAAGTACTTTATTACAAAAATTAGTTAAAATTTACTTCACTATCCAAATATTTACTTACATACATACCTATACTTGTATTTTGTAATTAAAATATTTTAAGTTATAATAACACAAAATATTGAAATTAAAACTTTGTATACTAAGAAGATTTTAAGTAAGTAGAATAGATCACATTTCTGTAAGGAATCGTATTTCAGGTTCATTTGTTGTTTACACTATCCACCTATTTTTTCCGAACCAAGCGTTGCAATTCCCGACGAATGACCTTGCAATTTGCATGCGTTAGGCATCGCAGACCTCACATAGGGGCGAAATTATGGTCCGACTGACCATAATCATAGTCAGAATAGGTACTTCACCTAAGTAACATAATTAACATTTCGCAATGTATTTTTTTACTTTCTATTGACATCCCTTAATAACCACGGAAATGTTAGTCCGCCGTGACGTAGGAAGCGGAACGGGTTTTTAGCTTGGTGCGTTTATTAATATAATTATGTAGGCTATTAAACGTCGGCAAGAAGTTGACATCAAAGGAGTGCAAATTCTGTACGTAGTACTATTATTTATTCTGTGCCATTACTTACTTCGTCATATTTCAATGATTGCCGTTTAGGTTTAAAAACCAAGGAAGTTTATTAGCAAATAATTGTATATTATGATCATCCCTTACAAGAAAAGGTAAGTCATAATATAGATTATAAATAGGAATGGGCCAAGAATTATTGAGCTTTGAGGAACACCCATTAGTACATTAGTACAGGTGTCCCGGAAGATATTTTACCATTGATACAACTTTCATTAATAATGTCCTCCAGACCGAATTTCGGTCACGGTGGCCTGCCTCAACGGAGACTAGCCATCGGCGCAGCACAGGATTATAGTGCCCAAGTGCCAATCCGATGGGACGGTAAACCGACTTGACCGGAGAGAGATCAAGCGCAGGACCAACGGCTTTACGTGCTTTTCGAGACACGGGGGTGGCACACCGCCAATTTCCTGATACTGATATTTTTAGCCCGACACGGGATTCAATCCCAGGACCTCATAATCAGCAGTCGTACTACTACAACCACTAGACCAACGAGGCAGTACCTTGACATGCATTAATATAACATACATAAAAACATAAGAACACCCAACTTTGATGTAACATAAGGATAACTTTCTATGTTTTGTTACTTAAGCATGAGCAAGTGCTAAAATTAAATATTTTGTACAACCGACTACATAAATAAGTAAAGCGAGAACATCATCATTGTAGTCCAAGTCAAATACGTATTATTAAGAAAAGTAGTGGCCCATGTAGTGGCGGGTATGAATACCCACCACCCAATATCTTCCCGCAGGTGTCGTAAGAGGCGATAGAGGGAAACTGAGGCAGAAGATGGGCAGCATCTTTCTGATAACACCAAAAAGCAATAAAAAACTGCGGTTGCCAACGCGCTCGCCAAGCGTGGCAACTATGGCAATATACCCCCCCCCCCATGAGCAACGATACAAATGAACGGCCCCCAGTTCCGGGCAGTCCCGTTATTCCTGGCTACGGTGATGACCACGGTAACGGCGGGGCAGGAGGTGCTAAGAATCTAGGGTGGAGGTTGTGCTGCCATCTATGACGACTCGACCTGGCAAAATATAACGCATGCACCCTGAGAACTGAGGAGAAAATCTTGGAGCTGGAAGAAGATATAGACAAGTTGCACTGGGATATTATAGGACTATCCGAGGTCCGAAGAGAGGGGGAGGACACGGTAATTCTCGAATCCGGCAACTTGTTCTATCACCGGGAGGGCGACCATCTGTCCCAAAAAGGTGTCGGATTTATCGTCCACAAGTCGACCGCTACATCAGAAGACGTTTTTAAGCTACTAGACTGGAAAGGATACGATTTTAATTCGGAGTTTCTGAGAGTTTGTGATAAACTTAGGAATTTGATATTCGCAGTAGAACCAGAGTGACGACCGTAGCCCAACGGATTAGTAAGCTGAAGTCACAATGGGCCGGCCATATAGCTCGAAGAATCGATAACCGATGGGGAAAAAGGTGCTCGAGTGGCAGCCTCGAACCGGCACGTGAAGCGTGGGGCGTCCCCCCACTAGATGCAGTGACGACCTGGTAAGATATGCAAGAAGTCGATGGATGCAGGTGGCTCAGGACCGTGCTTTGTGACGTTGCTTGGGAGAGGCCTATATTCAACAGCGGACTTGTGTTGGGCTATAATGATGTTAATGTTATTAAGAATAACTCAAAACTACTGGTCAGATCTTAATGTTTATATATGACCACATGAGAAGCACCAGCTTTTAAACGAAAAAAAGCCATCAAAATCGGTACACCTAAAAACATTCTGAGGTAAACGCATATAAAATTGAGAACCTCCTTCTTTTTTGAAGTGGGTTGAAAAATAAGTCTAATCGCTAAGTTCTTGATACCATAGCCATCTGAATTAGCAATATGTTTAATAAACTCAAAGGAAGTATGTAATAATAAGCACAGCACAGGCCACAGTTGTCGAGCAATATTAAAAAAAAATAGCATATTATGTATGTTACGCAAAGGCCAAAGTTTAAAAAAGCTTACGAAGAGGTACAAAGTTTTCTATTCACGTATTAATGTAAGATATCAAAGCTTTCTTTTAATGTTAATAAAGATACTTGTATTATTAGGTATACGTTTTAATAGCCCTTATTACAAAATATATTTGTACTAAGAAATAAGATATGCAATATTCCTATTTGTCCTATCCATATAAGACTGTCTCGTTGGTCTAGTAGCTATAGTAGTGCGACTGCTGATCATGAGGTCCTGGGTTCAAATCCCGGGTCGGGCCAAAAAATCAATTATTGAGTTTTTCTGTCAAGAAATTCTCAGTAGCTGCCCGGAGTCAGGAAGATGGCCGTTGGTCCTGCGCCTGATCTCTGTCCAGTCGTGTCGGTTTACCGTCCCATCGGGTTATAAGAGTGAGGGACTAGAGAGTGCACTTGTGCTTGTGCATACGCTTGGGCACTATAATCCTGTCCTGCGCTGATGGCAAGCGTCCGTTGAGGCAGGCCGCCGTGGCCGAAATTCGGTCTGGAAGGATATTTATCCATATAAGCACGTTTTATAATGTTTGTATTAGCGGTTTTTGATATACGCAAAAGATAGTAAGTACAAATAGATTTTGGATGCTCTACGCAAATTTTTATTCTCAAATTGGGCGGAGTACGAAATAAGTTTGAGAGACTGTGCCTACACATACATTTGATGGTAGGGAGTTAAGATAATTTAAATAAAAATAACTATCCATTAGACAAATAAACTTACTTTAATTCTTTTTGTGTAATCTCAGGAACGATGACATCTATTCTTGGTGTTTTAGATTCTTCATTCTCTTGATCTATACTGTTTTTCACAGCGGAAGATATCTCTCCAATGCTCTGCGTTTCATGTAAAATATTATTAGATATCACATTCTCAACAACTTCTTTTAGTGAAGATACATTTTTTGGCGTTGACAAATTTTGAGTATTTTCATCTATGATAGTATCCACTTTTTGCGGTTTGTCTGTGAAAGTTAGAAAAACTTATAGTACATAAAACAATTTTGTTATTATTTTGATTTGACTAAGGCCAGTTTAAGAGTTATATTTCATATTTGCGTAGCAAAAAAGAAATCTATCTAAATATTATTATTATAAAACTGTTCTCAGGACATACCTACACATTGAATATTTTTTGAACAGTCTAATTGTATAATGCTTTTTATACACATAGCTCAAGGGCTAAGTGCTCCCTGTAAATTTCACAGTACGCGAACAACCCGGGTTCGATCCCCGCCGACATCAATGAAATTGTTAATTGCAATTTTAAGTGCTGATTTAGGACGTGCTCGGCAGTGAAGCAAAACGTCGTGAGGAAACCTGCGAATAAACCCGACATTTCGAAGACATGTTAAGTTTGCCAACACGCATTGAGGTAGCGCGGCGGACAATTCCCTACCGTAAAACCCTCTCAGAAATGAGAGGATGCCTGTGCCCAGCAGTGTGACGTATATATAGGCTGTAACTACTTTATGCTTTTTATACATGTAAAACCCAAAACACATTATTTTAATGTTTTGTCTTTCTGTTTGTTCTTTTAAACCGATTTTGTTGACGCTAGGTAAGGCTTACCGGTATATAAGTACGATATAACTATTAAATTTGTAATGTAGTTAAACTAGGCACTGAGTGACAAGAGTACAGCAGGGCGGGGCGTTCCTTTTTATTGAAATTAAATTCAATTCAGTACCTACTAAAATTTATTTAAAAAAAGCACATCTACACTTAAACTAATAAGCCGAAGGTAATCTACGCACGCCCCGCCAAATGCTCTCTAATCAGACCTCAGCCTTTCATATTTGTACCTTGGATGATATTCGGATTGGAAGAAACTTTAAAACAATTATTTCTATCTAATATTGGCTTATGCATATTATCACATATAGGAAGCACAATTTCTTTTTTTAATACATCTTCATTTTTCTCCACAGTTACTACATTATCTTCTTTCATATCATTTTTGTCGCTGTTTTCTGAATACTGCCTAGTTTCATCTGTAAGCATATAGGTATACATAACATAACATATCGGAAATGAGAGAAACAAGAAACAAAAATATTTTATAAAAATCATTGAAGTAATATGTAGGTACTATGTGAATACAGTACATTTCTATTCAATAACCATAATGATGTATGTTATATTTAAGTACAAGTTAAGCTTAAGTAAAATAGGAACAAACAATTAAGCCAAAAGCCTAATTATTTTATGTGCGTGGAGGAGATTGAATAAAATTAAGCGTCGTCTAACCCTTAACATTGACCTCGAAACCATTTAACACGCCTAGCACTCTAGGTCATGCGTAATTTTTTCATGTAAGTAATCAAACAACAAAGAGTAGGTATACCTAATGGGCTGTTATTAGACGAATTTCAAACTAAATATGTTTAAATAAAAAGTGCAAATAGTGTTTGATAAAAAATATTTTGATAAACTAAGTTTTTACAACGTAAAAATTACATATGATGAAAAATCGTATACATCAGTGATTGTTGCTGTGATGTCACCTGTAGAATTCGCATGAACTTCGGCCACGTTTGGAACGCTGCTGGTACAGCCCATGATAGGTGAAATTTAGACTTACAAGGTGCTCATGTTTTTCTTACTAACATCTCACAGACCGCTAATATGGGTTTTAATTTTTATAGTTTATAGTTTTTAATTTTTATTGCGAGACAAACACTCTGACCAACCGAAACTAACTCTTCTACTCGACTGGGCGCTCCACAAGATCGTATCGTGCTTACCTATTATGGAAGGAGGTAGTCCACACGAATGACCTCGCACCCCGCCGTTTCTTTTTTTAAATTAAACGGGTGTAAAACATTCCTTTACTTTGACGCAATTATTGTTCATTAAAAAAGCTTTCCTTGACGCAAGCGTTCTTTTTGCACTTATAATTAGGTATTTAATATTATTCTAACCCTTGACCTTATAAGTGCTATTGAATTAAAGGACACTTTATTTACACGGATTACGGTTTTTGATATGTACAATTAAAATTAACGTCTTGTTTAGAAATATTCAACCAATTTCTATGCAAATTATTAAATTAAAGTATCAGATCAGAAAGAACTCGGTTGTTGACGATTCGAACCGCTCTGCGCTGGATGCGGTCAAGTGGAAGGAGCTGGCACTGGGGTGCCGCGATCCAGAGATAAGAAAAGTAGGTATTCCATGTGAGGCTGAACTTGCGCTTTGTAAAGTTGCAAGCAATGTGCTGTCATGAAATACTGTCCGGCTCTGCTGAGCACGCCAAGCTTTTTAGAGGCTAATTTGGCTTACCCTTCCAAGTGACCACAAAACTGCACACTATTCGACAGGTCGACACCGAAGATTCCGATACTAGGTGCGGCAGCAAGGGAAATGCAAACGCGCTTTGCAATTCAATTTTATTGTTAAGTTCATCATTGCTTTTGCTATAAAATTAGTCTTTCTTTAATATAATGATACCACCATATGTACGACGAAAAATGTTCTCTTACAAGCGCTTATCATTTTATTTGTTAAACTTCTCATTAAGATATGTATTGAAAACTTTCTTGGAGATAAAATAGCTACAAGACATATATATACTATACGTATACGTGGTAGAGCCATGCTGCAGTTATATTAGTAGTATAGTTGTAGCACGAACGGGTCGGCTCGAGCGGGGAAGGGCCACGCTCTCACAGAATACCAGCGTGAAATAGTAGTTTAATACTGCTGTGTTTCTTATGATGAGTGTAGAGAACCGGAGACCCTTTTTACTGGAAAAGGGGCATTCCATCCTAGTCCTTATGGGTGACAACGCATCTGCATTTTGATTTGTAATCGAGGATACATGTAGATGTCTATGGGCCGCAGCAAACACTTACCATCAGGTGGACTGTGTGCTCGTTTGTTACACTATCATATAAAAAAATATGACACGCAGAAATGTATTTTTAAAAGGAAACGAATTGAATTTCCAAATATTAAAGCTTAATTTTTAGTTGCTAAAAGTCATTGCATTGACCACCGACCTAATGTCTCTCGGTTGGCAAAATAACTGTGACCATCCTGGAGCTTCGGTTTTTAGCTTGCTTTCAGACCGAGAGCCCTGAGACCGATTAAGCCTTAAAAGTCTAACAGCACAAACATCACAGAAACTAGACTTGGGGCATCAGTCTACCACAGACTAAGAAGAGTATTTGCGTACAGTCTACGTTAAGCAAAGAAAAAGTAATCAACCAAATAACTTCGTGTTGCTGCTGGTGTGTATATCAAATCTATTTCTGTATTATCTTAAATTTTCTTGTAACTGCTTACTGTGTTCCATTAATTATTTAGGATAACGTATATTCGTTTATGAGAAATATCCTTTTATAATTTGAATGGTAATTTCAAACATACTCAAAACTATTATTGCGCACAGGTTCTTTTCTATGCCTCTTCTTTGACTACCAGAATTATACTAATCTTTTCGACAACGAGAGTAGATAGGTAGTACCACTTCTGGCTCACTGAGTCAGAAGTGTTACAACGTTCGTCGACTCACGATCCTAAAAAAAAAAGGTTTTGGCATGCTCTGATCACGAATCTGCGGTCCGTTTTTTGTGTAGGATGCACGGTTCCTGAGATGTGCAGATCAATTAACTCTTATCTAATTGATATCCGATGAGGGCCTCCACCGTCATTAGCGCCCCATTGTTATTTATCTATTGTTCATTGTATACCGTTATTGTCTATTTTTCCTCGGCTTATGCGTCGGCTTATCAGTGCTATTGTATTATACTTCTTTGTTCCTATCTACAACGCTAATCTCAATCATCAATAAAACACATTGCCTAATTTTGTTACAATTTTTATTTACAAAATACAAAATCTTATTACTTATTGTCCATAAAATAGGAGCGAAACATCTCATCCACTAAAATATCATTGTACAATGTGTTCCCTGTAAATATACTCGTAAAACTATGCACTGAACATCCCTGAAACTTATATAGCAAATACATTAAGCAATATTCGCCACAAACTTAAGTCCACTCGTTCTGAATCCTATCAACATTCCAGTTTCATCTTTTACAATTCCTTTTTAAAAACTCTAGATGATATTGTATAAGTGACCGTCCATATGAATCAAAATATTGACCGACGTCATTCGTATCGATATATAAAGCTACCCAATGTGACCCAGGTTTATCATCTGTATCCAAATTGCATATTATATACGTTGGTACGTGGGTATACATGGGCAGTCTATTAGCAGCATAAACATTACTTTCTAGACTGGGGTGAATCTTTTTCAGATGTTTTTGTACATCTAGTATATCCACGATATTACTGCTATTAGTAGATTATTACAGTACCAATCTACTCAATGACTAACATAGAAATGATCAATTATAGTGATTTCTAAATATTAAATTGCATTCTTTTGTGTTATACAAATCATATTTGAGTCATCAATACACTGAACAAGACGCAACACGAAGGAATGTTGAGATAAGCAACAGAAAGTGAGATAAGGTTTTTGATGCATAAAATTCTTTAGATTAGAATTATTACTTACTGGTACTATATAATACCGAGCAGCTGCAGTCATGGAGTTAGTGTATGGTCGTTTGACTGAGGTGGATCTATCAATACTACATTTGTGTTACTTCAACGCATCAAAGGCCATAGATGTAAGTGTTTATTCTATTGACAAACTTACTTTTCTTTCTGTTATTTTTTTACGTGTGTATGAGTGTTAACAAATTATATTTAAATATTATGTGTGAATATGATTAAGCCGTGGTAGCTCAGATGGTTAGCGCAAGCTGTAAATTTCACAGTACACGACCCGGGTTCGATCCCCGCCGGCACCAATTAAATTGTTAATTGCAATTTTAAGTGATGATTTACCACGTGATAAGCGGTGAAGGAAAACATCCTGAGGAAACCTGCATGTCCGAGAAAATTTCGAAGGCATGTGAAGTTCGCCAACACGCATTGGGGCAGCGTGTCGGACATTTCCTAGCCCTGAATACAAAGACAATGGCAGAAAGTGAAAAAGTTAAAAACTACTTTTTTTTAACAATGACAGTCATTAGTTGATCATTAGTGAATGTGATTCTGTTTACTTAAATTACAGGAAGACAAGAGCAGAAGGAAGAGATGGGATGATGGGAAGTAATGAAGCATTGTTATGTGAAGTTTGTTGGAACAAACATATTTTTAGTCACGTGTAAATACTTTTAGCTTTTTTGGTTCAAAATGACACAAAATCTAAAAAATATTAGATACATCATTGACATGGACGGATTTTACACTACATATCCTCATAAACATTTTCAATGTAGAGAAATGGCTATTCTAGACGTAAAACTATCTAATAAAAATTATGCGTTTATCGATCATTATTTGTTTCGGCCAAGTTATCCTTTCAATTATTTGTTGCCAAAAGACAAAAAAAACAGTTCGTTATTGCGAAACACACGTGCACCGTGACCGAAGAATTAAAATGTGCCTACAAACAAGGGAACATCATTCTCATATTAAATTGGTATATTAGAAATTTGTGCAAAGACGAAGTGATCGCATACAAAGGTGGTTCAGCAGAAAAAACAATTTTTAAAAAGGTTGACGACGAATGATAGAATTTTTAATATTGAAGAATACAAATGTCAAAAATACAGTGATTTGGTAAATGTCATAAATTTAAACAAACGTTATGTGTGTAATAATCATATATTTGCAAAAAATAATCACAAAATTTTACATTGTTATTGTGATGAAGTGTGGGTTTTTACAAGTGGTTATTGCTTGAAAATAAAATTTTAAATTATATTTCTAAATATTAAATTGCATTCTTTTGTGTTATACAAATCATATTTGAGTCATCAATACACTGAACAAGACGCAACACGAAGGAATGTTGAGATAAGCAACAGAAAGTGAGATAAGGTTTTTGATGCATAAAATTCTTTAGATTAGAATTATTACTTACTGGTACTATATAATACCGAGCAGCTGCAGTCATGGAGTTAGTGTATGGTCGTTTGACCGCAGTGGATCTATCAATACCACATTTGTGTTACTTCAACGCATCAAAGGCCATGGATGTAAGTGTTTATTCTATTGACAAACTTACTTTTCTTTCTGTTATTTTTTTACGTGTGTATGAGTGTTAACAAATTATATTTAAATATTATGTGTGAATATGATTAAGCCGTGGTAGCTCAGATGGTTAGCGCAAGCTGTAAATTTCACAGTACACGACCCGGGTTCGATCCCCGCCGGCACCAATTAAATTGTTAATTGCAATTTTAAGTGATGATTTACCACGTGATAAGCGGTGAAGGAAAACATCCTGAGGAAACCTGCATGTCCGAGAAAATTTCGAAGGCATGTGAAGTTCGCCAACACGCATTGGGGCAGCGTGTCGGACATTTCCTAGCCCTGAATACAAAGACAATATCAGAAAGTGAAAAAGTTAAAAAATACTTTTTTTAACAATGACAGTCATTAGTTGATCATTAGTGAATGTGATTCTGTTTACTTAAATTACAGGAAGACAAGAGCAGAAGGAAGAGATGGGATGATGGGAAGTAATG